CAAAAGATAAGCCAAGTATTAAGAAGCAGGGAAAAAACTCATTAAAAACAATGAAAAAAAGTACAGAACTATTATTTAATATCGGTTCTTCTACGGCTGATGCTCGACACCTTGGGGGGGGGGGCGTTTCACTATGCTTTCTTGGCCTCACCTTTTCGACTGTCTTGGGGTGGAACACATTCATTGAATCAACACCTGCATCTATTGTAAAGAAAGTTGGTTCTCTATGTGTCGTGTCAATTGGTTTCCCCTCAGGATCCATCTAATACATTTACAAATCTACTATTCGCCCCTGCATTGAATACGGTTGCCTTATCAGGACTGGTGTCCCCTCTGTTCATCTCAAGGTTCTTGACAAAATCCAAAGAAGGATCTGCTATGTAATCGATGCTGACTTGGCATCTCGACTTCAGTCATTTTCTCACAGACATGATGTGGCTTCCCTCTACAAATATTTTCATGACGATTGCACTGACGAGCTCTTTTCCCAGATGCCCTGACTAAATGAATTTAAGCGTGCTACTAGATTGGCATTTAGGTCCCACCGTTATACTGTTGAAATAGTTAAATGTAACCGTCAATTCTACTCCAACAGTTTCTTTTCTCGCACTTCCCGTCTATGGAACTCCCCTCCTCTTACTTGCTTCCCTGATGATTATAATCTTCAAAAATTTAAATGTAGTGTTAACCGCCATCTTCTGTTTACTTGAACCCCGCTTGTCATTTATCTTTTTCTCACCCCCACCACTTATACAGAGTCTTTTCTCTCGCTTTCACTCTCTGTAACCCCTTGCGTGCTAGTGGCAATCCGGCTTTGCTTGGGGTGAAATGCTTAAAAAAAAGATGGTAGTGAATTGTTAACAATCCCATCACAGATGAAGAAGACATTTAAGGCAATAGCAATTCTGGGAATACCATGGACTGAACATGTGAGCAATGACGAAGTTTAAGAGAAAATGGAATCAAAAAGATAGTTTCAATCAAAAAGAAACAACTGTAATTTCTAGATCACATAATGAAGAAAAAGGGCTTGGAGAATTTGACACTCACATGGCATATAGAAGGCCAGCTGGTTGGAAGAAAGCAGAGCGTAACCGACTTAATGAGTCTGCGTAATGATTGGAAAACAGAGATTAGGGGAGATAGCAAAAAATTACTGAGAGCTACAAAAAAAACAACGACATACGGGTCTCTGGATAGATGTAGGACCTTTGCTGTGTGGTACGAAGCACCTTCGTGAGGACGGGTATCATCTCCTAAATCTCTCACGTAATAGCTCCAAGTTTCCATGCCCCGGCAAAACCTTTTAAATTCACGTGAAGGGGTGGGGTTAACACGTCACCACTGGGCGAAGAATCTGTTCGACGCAGGCCAACGGCCAGGGCGGAAAGGTTTCTCAGATGAATTACAACGGCCATATGTTCGTGACCAAGGAAAGCCAACTAATTGGAGGACGTCGACTGTGGTTAAACCTGGAGACGGATGGTCTCTGTCAGGTTACCTCTCTCGAAGACACGCCATATGATAAGCATACCAAGAAACCATTCGCAGAGACCCTGGCTCTGGCACACCAGCAGGACATATAGAGGTGAATGATGGACAGCTTAGCACGTCTACGCCCCAACGATACTTTTCGGACGAAAGAAGAAGAAAATGAAAAAGAAGACAACACTAGATTGGTAGAGGGCCATGATTGCCCACGTCCTGAAGAGATACTGCACATACAAGACGATTACCTCGATTACCTTTACTCGTTATTTTTCACGTAATCATGACACAATACACCCGATAGCAAGGCCTCTGATCGGGAGAGTGGAGGTTTTGTGGAGCGTGGAAACACCTTTTAATTTCTGTTGTGTTCGGGTCCACCCACACTTGGGTAGGAGTAACAGCTAGAGTGCCAGCTATGGACAAATACTGAGCCCAAAAACAAAAGTGAAAGTGAAAGTATAAAATTACATTTTTATAGTAAAACCTATTAAAATGACTAGCACCACATCTTTAAATCAAAATGATCAATAATACATTTTGAGAGAAAATCAAACAATAAATACATTTTATCTGTAATTGAAGGCATGCAATTGCGTTCAAAATGTTTCGTTGAAATCATAAAACTGGGTTCAAAATATTTAATTTAACCTTGTGGTTGATATTCTGCTAAACAAAATCAACCAAGCAACGAACACAAAGGAACTCTTTCGTAACATTAATGCATATAATATCCTACAATTTCTTAAAGAAATCAAACTGTATTCTAAAATATAACATCAACAAAACTACAACATAAAAAAATCACCGCCTCTAAAAATTATGTCCACACAAGCATGTATATGCACAAAAGCTGAGTATCATCTACCATGTACTCAATTGTGAAAGTAGAATAACAGAATTTTATTACTTCAAAGTTCCCAAGAAAATTAAATTTCGGTATTAATTGGCCCATAAGGAGTTGATACGACCTTAAACAAATGAAACAAAACAAAGAGTAAATGACTCAACTATTACATTATTATTATTATTATTATTATTATTATTATTATTATTATTATTATTAACGACAACGTTTTTTTGTTATTGTAAATATTAGAATAAATAAAGAAGTAGTAAATGTAGTAGCAAGCCGATGCCAGCAGTCAGGATTTCACTAAAAGCTAAAATGAAAGTGAAAGTGAAAGTGAAAGTAGGTCTTTTGAAGCGGATGAAAAATTGCGGTATTCTACATTCATTCATTCACTCGTTTAGCTTCGAGTTTTGGAAGGATGCCAACGCGCGATTCGCCGCCCTGTTTTCTTTCGTTTGCTTTTAGCTTTACTTCTTCCCCCAGCCTTGCCATCTTGCATAAGGATTTTTCCATTTTTCGGTTTTTTGCTGATTTTTTATATAAAAACTTTACTACTTTTTTCTGTTTTTTTTTTATTCTTCATGCCACTTCTTTCTCCTTTTCTTCTCTAATATTTACCTTTTTCTGTTTTTTTTTTTTTTGCTGTTTTCTTTCAGTCTTATTCAGTCTTCTTCCATTCATGCAGATTTTACTTTACTTTCATTCTCACTGTAATAATTATATTTTTTCCTCTAATTTTATTCCTTTGATCAAGTATGTAAGATATTCAGTTTCCTTTTTTTCTTTTTTTTTTCTGTACTAATTTTAATTTTTCATACTTATTTAAAATTGGTTTTATTCATTCCTTTTTTGATCTTTAATTTTATTAATGTTTTTTTTCTTTTCCTATATTTCAATTTTTTTATTCTTTCTTTGTATTCTTCCTTTTATCACTTCTTTCTCATCGTTTGTTTCTTTCTTAAAATAACTTTCTTTCTCGATGTGTGTGTTGCATATACATTCTCATTCAATAGCATTCATTTAATTATTTCAAATGTCATTCTTTTCCACAGGTATTTTTATTTTTTCATTCTTATTCAGTGTTATTTCATTCATCAGGTTTCTTTATTTTCGTTTTCTTTCTTTTTTATATATTTAAAGACCTCGTTCGTATTTTTTGCCTACTGTTTGTTCATTATTTTTTCATCGATTTTCCTTCTGTCAATAAAAGTTTTTTTTTTTATTTATATTCCTTTTACGTTTTCATTATTCATCTCTTTATTTTTCTTCATTCTCTATTCATTTTTTCTTTGCTTTCTTCTTAAAAGATTCTTTTTTATAATTCATTTCATTTATCATTTTTTAAACCTTTTTTTTATTTTTCATTCTTCTGCTTCTCTGTTTTTCTTTTCTCTTGCTCTACTGTTTTATCCTTTCTTTCTAATTCCTTCATTTTTCTTTCCAGAGCTGCCATTTCCCTTGTTTGCTGACTTTTCTATTTTCTTTCTCTCTGTCTCTCCTCTTCATTCTTTTTTCTTTCTTTCTCCTTCTTTTGCATTTCTTTTAAGGCCTCTCCTTGCTTCTTATTTCTTCTTGCTTTCTTTGCTCTCTCTCCTCACTTCATCTTTTCTTCCTCTTTATCTCTCTCTCTTTCACTTTTTTCTTTCTGTCTTCTCCTTGTTCTTTTCCTTCCTTCTTGATTTTTCTCTCTTTCCTTTATTTTAATCTCTCTCCCCCCTTCATTTTTTCTTCATCTCTCGCTCTCATTTCTTTCTCCTCCTTTTTTCCGTTCCTTTCCTTTCAAACCTCTCCTTCTTTTTGATTTTTACTCTCTTTCCGTTTTTCGTCTCTCTACTCACTTCACTTTTTCTTCCCCTCTCTCCCCCTGTCTATCACTTTCACATTATTTTCTTCTTTCTTTCGCCTTCTTTTTTTTTCTTTCCTTCTAAGCCTCGTCTTCCTTCTTATTTTTTTCTCTTTCCTTTTTTTTGTTCTCTCTTGTCGCTTCACTTTTTCTTCCTCTCGTTCTTTCTCCTTCGTTTTCATTAACTTGCAAGCTTCTCACTCTCTCTTGATCTTTCTTTCTTCTTTTTCCCCCTCTCCTCACTTTTCTTCTCTTGGTTCTCTCTCCCTTCCCCCGCACTCCCTTTCTCTCCCTCGCATCCAATTATTTTCGCTCAACCTTGCTCACTGCAAAAAATAAAAACAAATTCTAAATGCCACGTATTGAAGCAAAAAGCAAAAACTTTTATCTTCTACACCATTTCATTTAAATAATTTGCGTTTCTAACTCTGTTATATTAATTCATTTGTTGATTTCGTAAGGATGACTGTTCTGGAAGATTTTTTTTCTTCATGAATAACCTTCCGCTACGCTAAGCAGACGACACTGTAGTTTTGGTAAATTAAGAAAGTAAGACAGAAAACACTGTTTCAAAAAAAAAAAAAAACGCCAAGGAAATGAAACTGTCCTATTTTTAAATATTCAATATATGACTTTTTTATACAATGATTTTCGCCCTTCACAAAGCCTGGGAGCCACTTGAGGTAGAGGGTTACAGAGTCTTTTTTAAGTACCCTGTCCTTTCAGGACGTAGGCGATAATGGCTCCCCACTTCCCCAATCCCTTGTAGCTCTCAACAAGTTTCGTCCCTCTTCCACCTCTTCCAGACCACGTTCTGTCATCTATATGTCACAGTGGCCATCTTTAGTACATTATAACAATTGCCATGGAAGTATTTATAGAAATGGCACAGGAAGCTGCTTTATGACAGTTGGAAAGTGACTGAATATATATATATATATATATATATATATATATATATATATATATATATATATAATATAAGGAACATTGAAGCCAACACGTAGAGGCGACAGGCTGTTTCATGCTAGATGCAATCGTTAGTCCACGAGTGTTTTTTTTTTTTTCTCAGCTATTTATATATCTGGGTCAGTGGTGCATTGTGGGTAGTCTATTTTGGTGGTTATTTTTCTGGAAGTCGTTTATTTGTTCATTTATTTATATATTTGGGTTAAATTATTTTGCTTGTTTTTACTTATTTTTAATTTTTATTTTTATTTCTTATCTTATATATTTATTTATTTATTTTTATTTTAAGGGGTGTTTTTATTGCTCAAGCCCGCCAGGTATGTCATGTATTGCTTTCCCTTAGGTATATTTCCCTCTATTCAACCTGTGAGTTTCAGGTTGCCCATGCCCTACTTATTCATTATGTGTCCTAGAAACTTCAGCTGCTTTTTTCCTGATGTTAAATATAAGCCTTCTCCCTGTTTGCATCCTTTGCTCACACGCTAAGTCCATGATATCCTCAGCATCTTTCTATAGAAGCACTTCTCTGTCGCCTCGAGTCTTTTCTTCATCTTTGAGGAGACCATCCAACATTCGTAAAGAAGGGCAGATGTCACGTAACTGTTCAGTATTCTTTTCTTTGTTACCAAAGACATCCTCCTGTTTCGCAATACTCTGCCCAGCTTTTAGAATGCACCCTTGTCCATCCCAGTACATCTATGGATCTCAGTGTCACACTTACCGTCCTCTGTCAAAACACTTCCCAGGTATTTAAACTACCGCGCCTGTTTGATATTAGAATCCCAGGACCTGCAAAGTGCATTTCGGGGTAATCTTTTTACTGTGTATTCTGTCTTCTTGTAGTTTATGCTTAGTACGTTCTTCTTCCTCTCCTTTGATATTTCTGTAGGAGGTTTTGTAATTTATTTTCCATGTCTGCTGTCATTAATGTTTAGAAGCATAATTTATGCAGATATGTGGATAGATAACGGTTAACCCTACACTTGAACAGGTTAAGATAGTGATTAAGGCAATATCGTCTTGAGAGTCGGTTCCACAATTTCATAGGTAGAACCTGCTTGAGTGGAACATAAACTTCCCCAAAGGAATATAAAGGGAATGAGGGTAGTTCGCAACAATGGGCGTGAAATGGCAGGTTTGCTGGAAAATGCTTGGTGCCACTTTTACCCGCATTGGTTTCCTATTAAAATGCCATAGAACCTTGTGGGTATTAATTGTAATTTTTTTAAATATTTTTGTTCACTTCAAATTGTAAGAGTGAATTTAATGAGGTGTCTGTAATTTCACATCACTTCAGAATGTTAATTCAACAACATGTCGCTCGCTGAGTATGTCACAGTGGCCATCTTTAGTACATTATAACAATTGCCATGGAAGTATTTATCGAAATGGCACAGGAAGCTGCTTTATGACAGTTGGAAAGTGAACGAATATATATATATATATATATATATATATATATATATATATATAAGTGAACATTGAAGCCAACACTTAGAGGCGACAGGCTGTTTCATGCTAGATGTAATCGTCAGGCCACGAGTGTCGTTTTTTTTTTCTCGGCTATTTATATATCTGGGTCAGGGGTGCATTGTGGTTAGTCTATTTTGGTGGTTATTTTTCTGGAAGTCGTTTATTTGTTCATTTATTTATATATTGGGTTAAATTGTTTTGCTTGTTTTTATTTATTTTTAATTTTTATTTTTATTTCTTATCTTATATATTTATTTATTTATTTTTATTTTAAGGGGCGTTTTTTATTAACGTAGTAAAAAATTGTTTATATCGCTTATTTAATAGTTTTGTTTTGGTTTGGGAAGATAATTCTAGCTAATTATTCAATTTTGGGGTTGATTGCTGTAGTTTATTCAAACTATTATTTTGTGGGGGAGCAGTTCTTAATTTGTTTATTACTTCATTTATTTATTTGGATTGATTATCTTTACTTGTTTTTCTAACGGTTATTTTATCAGGATCGGTTTGTTAGTTTGTTTATTTATTTATTTGGATTAATTTAGATTAATCTAGTTTACTTGTTTTTTATTATGTATTTTTTTTATACTGTATAATTTTATTTACTCTTTTCGGTTTTGGATTTTTAAGTAATGTAGTATTTTTTATCGTTATATAACAGTTATAGCTTTGTTTTTCGTCCGAATTTTTTGGTTTGATTCTTATAGTCTAACTAATATTTTGGTCATAAATGTTTGTCAATTTGTTTATTATTTACTTTATTTGTTTGGATTCATATTTATTTGTTTTGTGTTTTTTATTTATTCTATTTCATCTTTAGTAACGGGTGTGATTTGGTAATTTCTTTGGGTTAATTTATTTTGCTAATTTTATC